GTAGGTTTTTGGGGGGTGTTAGGCAACTTGTGTGTGGGTTAGCCTATCTTCGTGCATGAGACTGGATTTACAAAGTATGAAAACCAGAAAGGACTTTTAGGCAACTTGTGTGTGTTCTGGGCACACAAGTTGCCTCACAAATAGACTTTTAGGCAACTTGTGTGTGTCCTGGGCACACAAGTTGCCTCACACAGAAGTTGCCTCCCCCCACCCACCCCTTTTCTGCTTTTGAGGGCAACATGTTAGAGGGGGAGGGGGTACAAGAAGGAGAAGGGAGTTTGGGCACTTTATGTGTGCTCTGGGCACACAAGTTGCCTCCCACAAACGCGCCCAATCAGGTAAAGTTTTTGGGGTGTTAGGCAACTTGTGTGTGTTCTGGGCACACAAGTTGCCTAAACATGTAGACAACTTAAAATGTGATCTAGACACACAAGTTGCCTCCCCCACCCATCTTTTTTGCTTGCTTGCTCGTCGGGAAACATTAAACGAAGGGGGAAAAGCAACAAAAAAGTACACACACAAAAATAAAGAAAACGGGACTTTGCTTACTCATTATTTTGCTTGGGAACGTCGATGTTTACAAGACTGAAGTCATCCAGCACAATGTGGGACTTGTGGTAGTGGTGGTCCCACATGGTACGGATAGTTGCTGCTATTTTCCTTGCATTAATGTCCAAATCTACATCATCGAGCGTCCTCCAGGAGTCAAGCACCTCAAATATTCGGTCTCTTATATTCAGATTAAAGACCCAATAATGGTTCGAAGTTTTCTTCTTTGTTGGATTAAGGTTCTCCAATATAGGAAACATAATCTGTTTTTGTTGCACAAAAAAAGTTAACGAAAAAATCGAACAAATGCCTTATCAAAATGTACAAAAAAATGGACTCCCTTCATTTGCAGGCAACTTGTGTCTCCAAAAAGTAAGTGAACACATATATAACTTGGGATATATTTTGTGTAGACATCAAGAAAATGACTCACCATGTCTTTTCGGTCCAAATGGTTAGACTTGTTGAATCTGCCATTCAATTCTTGTGTGTTCCATTCCATCTGTTGTAGCCTGATCTGAAAAAGAAAAAGGAAAACCATCAACACATGATGACCTATATTGCGCAGAAGAAAGAAGAAAAAATGCAAAAATATATATATAAATAGAAAAGCTTGAAGGCAAAACTTTTACCGAGAATCGAAGAGGCATGACGACCTTCTTTGAGTCCGCAGGCAAATTCAGCATTATAGACTCGATGCCAACTTCGAACACGTGCGAAAGAACGACACCCTCAACCTTCATTGAGTCTGCAAGTTCCCTCAGGGTGACATCATATCCATTGTAATCAATGATTTTTGGGCTGGAAACAGAAAAAAAGCAAGGCGATTAAAAATGAACAAGCAAAAAAGTAACCCAAATGCATTAAGATCCCTGGAGCAAACATTGGCCATTGCTATGATTAGACAAGTTTGGTACCTGATGTCTGTATCTTTTGATTCATCTGCACTGATCCTTGCATGCAAAATCATTGAAGTGTATAAACGGTTTGCTTCAGGTTTGCAATGGAACTCTTTCTTGTTCCCAGGAATCATGAATGGTGATCTCAGGCATGGAGGCAGCTTGATGAGCCTCCTCTCATATTGAAATGTGACTGGCTCGCCTGAACTACTACTATTGTAATACTTGCTGCCCGAACATAAATATGTTTCAGTCATACCCTGGGTGTCTTTAATAGGTGTGTGCAAGTTATTTGGTGACAAGCTACTGACGTCTTGCCCACCAATTGATTCTTTTCGCCTTCGCTCTGTTGCTGCACATGCTTCTTCTATAGCATCCCAATCATCATCTTCTATATTAATAACTTCATTCACATCATCTTCATCAAGAAATGGTTGTTTCAAACTCGTATTCACATCATCTTCGTTGCGGATTTGTTGTTCCGAACTCATTGTCCATGCAGATTGACTGCTGGTATTGGTTGCTTCTTTATGACTTGGAATAAGATCATCTAAGATAATCCCAAAGTTGGGTGCTGGACAGTATTCGTCCCATATCCCTTTCAACTTTTGCTTGGGGGGGTCATCAACTGGCTCTTCACATGTGTTTGCTGCTGGAAGGTTGATTTCTTTATTGGTTGGAACAACACATCTTGCTAATATCTCATCTATGTTTAGTGTGTCATTGGAGTGCTCCTGGTGTGTCTCCGGTGGACAGTTTTCCTTGTTTGCTTCCTTTGTAGGAGGTCTGCTGAATTTGGAGCTCATCGCAGGCACCTTGGTATCAACCTTGGGCGACTCTGGTACTGGAACTGGTTGTTTCATGTCGGTGTTTGGATTCCCAACAACTTGCTGGCTCCCTGTAGGCAGCATGAGATTAGTCTTGAGCAAATTTGCGACTGACTTGGATGGTTTGAGATGAGTTGTAGGCTGTCTATCAAGTTGGGGGCTTGTTACATGTAACTTGGCATCCTTGGTGATCATCTCAGGGCAGCTCCCTTGACTAATTGTAGTGAATGGCTGTCTGAGAAAAGGTACTATAGGTACAGGTAGCTTGGCATCAGTCTGTGGCAAGTTTTCAAGTGGACTTGCCTGCCTCACTGCATTATTTGTCTGACTCGTGAAACTTGGCAATGTTGCAGCCAGCTTGTTATCATTGTGCCTCAGCTTACCAGGGGGCTTGGGATCATTCTGTACAAAGGTTGCATGTGAGCTTGCTTCTCTGAAATCAGTAAATGGTGGGCATGTGTTTTTTGGACAGGCTGCAGGCAAATTGAGATCAACTTTGGGCAACTTTGCACAAAAACTTGCTTGCTTGTTAACTCCCATACAAGTTGCCCCAACTTTCAGCTCACTTGCTCCATCTTTCAGCTCACTTGCTCCCTTGGTTTTATCATTCAGTTCCTTCTTAAGCTTTTCATTAGCTGATCCTTGCTTACATGTGGTGCCTAAGGGCTGCACTATTCCCTTTTCTCTAAAAATTGGAGCGTCAGCAATTGGTGCTTCTGTTGTTCTTCGTACTGCCTGAGCTCCCATACAAGTTGCCCCAACTTTCACCTCACTTGCTCCATCTTTCAGCTCGACTCGGTGAACTTTTTCAGTTTGCTGTTTATGCTTGAGTGATGAAACAAGCTGCCTAGTTTCATGTCTTGGCTTGAATGCTCCAGCTTCAATTGGTGCCAAGTTGAATGATACCCTCTTTTGCTTCCTTGGTGGTAGTGGGGGCATATGCCTTTTTGGTTCTTCTTTTCTTTTTGCTATCGGGGTGTGGAATCCACAAATTTCTTGCATAAGCTCCTCCTATGTGTGTAGTGGGCATAACTCTTCCATGTTGAAAGTGCATGCCATTTGCATGTTCTCGTCCTCCAGAATGCTTTGGAATATCATGTTGCTATATGAAGCAGGTGTTCGTCCGTCATAAACTTTCGGCAGATCAAGCTTCTCGCCTTCTAGCGGTTTCCATTGCTTGTTGAACTCCATCATAACAATGTCTATAAGAGATATACTTTTTGGGTCATCTGCCCCTTTTGCTTTGTTGCCATGCTCTTGAATGAAGAAGTCTGTAGAGCAATTGCCTTCGTTGGTGCTACCTGAACTTGCTGTCGGCTCATCTTCTGCAGAATTACCGCCCGGGGTACCTGCTCCGGTGTTGTGACCTCCACCCCTGTCCTCATCGTCTTCGTCATTCCTTTTCCTATTACCCCCTCTCTTTTCACTTGTTTGGTCATCGTCCTCGTCCCGATCGTCCCGATCATCATCTTCATTCGGTTTTCTTGATCATCCTTCTCTGTTCCAGCCTTTTCAGATCCCTCCTCACTGTGCACCTCTTCAGTGGGGTGGCTTCCATTACCTCCATCTGAGCTGGTCTCACCGTCCCCCTTCCCCTGATCCTCATCAGCATGTTTTTTCTCACCCGCTGCCTGGTCCTCCTCCAGATCATCATCTTCTTCAGCTGTATTGGTGTTAGTATTGCCTGTTTGTGGGTCCTCATCATCTTCGCTGCCACCTGAGTCATCATTGTCCGATTCGGTTTCGCTGTCTTCAGCCGCTTTGTCCTCATCACTCTCGCTATTAGACTCGTATGACTCTTCATCCTCGGTAGAGCTGTGCTCAATCACTTTTGGGATGGATTTCCCCTTCTTACTGCCCCTTTGAGACGTTGCCCCCATTGTACAGCGTGCATCTGTGCTTGCCATTGCTTCGCCATCATCAAGCTTGCCTACTCCAACTACTAGCTTCCCAACAGCATGTGACATTTCAGTGCACATCTCATGAACCATCTCTGTCAGCCTCTTTTGTTTCTACACAAGGCACGAAAACACAAGTAGGCCATTGGAAAAACAACGATGTCACAAAATTTGAAATGAAAAAAAAGACTTTCCTGACAAGATGTATAGTTTGCATACTTACAGTTTTGTTGTAGCTTTGTGGGAGCCTGGCTGCAACAAATTTTGTGATGTGATCCATGCTGCCAAACAAGCCGTCTTTTGCGCACCGGGAAAATTCTGTCTTGAGCTGCAATAGAAGCATGTTTTGTAAAAAAACAGAAAAGTGTCCGCGACTATACGGGGGAGGGGTGTGATAAATGTAGTTGGCTTGATAGAAAACTAACAACACAGAGACAGTTACTGATGATTCTAGCATCGTCTGCCTGGTTTTTGAATCACAAAAACTAACTTCACACCCCATATCTCGATATGGCTAGGGAGAAGGATGAATAACAATAAGTTTCCCTTTGGTGCTATAAAAAATAGAAACATAAATTGGGGCAACTTATGTGTATGTGGGGCACATAACTTGCCTGCCTGGCTACCTCTTTTTGCTTTCTAGAAAAAACACTAAAACAAACAGAAACAAGTGGGAGTTGCTAGTGTTTGTACCATCAATTGCCAGAACTCAAGTTATGGGAGTTGTCATGAAAACATGGAAATTCTAGTGGTTTGTAGGTTGTGAGTACAAAATAAAACAGAAAGTGTATGTGACTGTATGGGGGGAAGGGTAAAAACAACACCTAAAAAAAGGTTTGATTCAGCTAGTTTTCGAATAAATGTAGTTGGTTTGATAGAAAACTAACAGCACAGAGACAGTGGCCGGTGTTTCTAGCATCATTTTGCCTGATTTTTGAATCACAAGCTAACATCACACCCATGTGTGGATATGACTAGGAAGAGGGATGAAGAACAGTAAGTTTCCCTTGGTGCTATAAAAAATAGAAACACAAATTGGGGCAACTTATGTGTATGTGGGGCACATAACTTGCCTGTCTGGCAACCTCTTTTTGCCTGCTGGAAAAACCCTAAACAACAGAAAACAAGTGGAAGTCGCTGGTGTTTGTACCATCAATTGCCGGAACATAACGTAAATTTGCAAACACTCATAAAAAGGAGACCAATAAAAATAGACACCCCTCCTCTCCTTATCCAATTAACGGCAACTTCATTAGTGTCTATTTGAAAAAGGTTGTTTGTCATGCTATCATGCTATTCCTTTATGTTTAGCAGAGGGGAAAACTTACATGCAACTTTCCATACACGCCTGGCCCTTTCTTGTCTTTCTTCATGAGTTTGGTTATGAGATCATCATTCCAAATGGCCGCCCTTGGCAGCGTGCTAGGAATTGGCTCATCTACCTCCAATGAATCAAGGTATAGTATTTGCATTGTTTTGGATTAAATAAGCATCAAATTTCATTCCCATAGTGTATTTGAATTAGGAAAAAAAGAATGAACAAACAAAAAATTGTTAAATATTGTATTTGTACTTACTACTAGGTGGAAGACACAGCAGCAAACCGCTTTCTTCTTCTCCCCAAACCCCATGAATGCTAGCCTTAGTTGATCAACAACAAAGTCGCATATCTTCGAGTCTTTGATGACATTTGTGTTCAAGATAGCGGGGAAACACCTTGGCGAAATGCTCAAGCTTGTTGTTGGAGCGAGGAAACAAGAAAAGGCAACTGCCAGTCAAGCACGGAGAAAATCATCATTAGCAGCCCCGTTCATATTTTCAATCATTTTGCACCACGATGTCAGCGTAGGAGAGATTTTGCCCTCAATCTTGTAGATG